GGGGCCACGCCATAGGGTGGCTCAGGGCAGGCTCTTGGCAGACGGGCTGGCCCGAAGCAGGCTGGCAGCCCTGCCTGTGACCCTGCCTGCCACCACTCTGCAGCACAGCATGACTCAGGCTCCTCATGGTGAGATGTGAGGGCACCTGTTGGCTGTTCACTCTTTTTTAAATATGTATCTTTATTAATTTCAGAGAGGAAGGGAGAGAGAGAGAGAGAGAGAGAGAGAGAGAGAGAGAAACATCAATGATGAGAGAGAACTATTGTTCGGCTGCCTCTTGCATGCCCCACACTGGGGATCGAGCCCACAACCCAGGTATGTGTCCTGATCGGCAATCGAACCGTGACCTCCTGATTCATAGGTCGACGCTCATCCACTGAGGCCTGCTGGTGGTTGTTCACTCTTACGGTGGGATGAGCCTGGAGGGCCCTCCTTGGGGCACATGCAGGGTGGCCATCTGATCCCCCGGCCATCTCCAGGGCAGGCACTGGGGTGGGACTCATCTCTCTTACTTAGAAAAGGCTTGGGACTCAGCAAAAGTTCCATACACGTCCCTGGAGTGAACCCTAGTGAACTTCCTTCCCCTCTGCTGTGAAAGGCTTTGTGTCTCCTGGACTTGAGAACACAAAAGGCAATTCATCTTCTTAGACAGGTCTCTGCTCCAGGACAGGAGAAATGCGACCCCTTCATTTCCACCTTGTAACATGTTTGTCTTTTCAGTAGGATCTGTTTGCTTTACAAAATTCCATCTGGGTCAGCGTTCCCCTGGGGTCAGACTCTGTCTGCCACTTTCCCGCTGTGTGGCCTTGGACAAGGGACTCAGCCTCTCTGAACTCAGCTTCCTCACCTTTAAAAGCCCTCCTCCGTGTGCAGCCATGAAAACTGAGTGAGCCCAGCAAGTCCAACGCTGTCTGTTACACACAGCCATGACTTCTGTGCCCGACTGCCCACCTCTCGGGGTGCACCTGTGGGAGCCCCCACCACAGGGACGTGCAGCGATGCTGCTGGGAAAAGGAACTTGCTGGATGGTGACTTCCGTCTCTATCCCAGGCCCTCTGCCAGGGCCAGCTGGCTGTGGTCCAGCCTCGGGCTCGGGCTCTTGCTCCCGGCCCTTCGGATGCTGAGCTGGGGAGTCTGCGTTACGCAGACGGCAGCTTTTCTCTGAGGAAGGCACCATGAGCAATGTCTCAGTAAGTCACGCAAATGATCAGCAGGACCATTCCAGGCCCCCATGGAGCCTTCTGGGTCAGGGCCCGGCTCTGACCACAGGTGACCTTTGACTGCGTTTCGGGCTCCCCCGGCCCACCCGAGGGCATGACAGGAAACTGACCCAAAGCACACCGAGCCTCCGGACTGTGGAAATGACTAAGCCCATGCCATTGCAGCCAAGGAGATTGGGTCAAATGTCCACACGGGCCCACGGCTGAGGGCACAGAGCCAAATCTTAAAAGCATTTTGCTAACAGGAAATTCTCGGAATGTCTTCCCTCAGGGGCCACGGGAGGAAGCAGGCCATTTGTACTTACAGGTCGTCTGTCCATCCCAGGTCATCCATCAAAGCCCTGCCGGGGCCCAGGGCTCAGGGCCGTCAGGGCATCGGGCATAACTTGGTGGTTCAAGCTCTCACCACCACCACCAACCTCGTCGTCACCCTCGTCATGCAAACTGCTACAGAGCAAAGAAGCTCCTCCGCCGGGTTAGAGACGAACGACAAACTCCCTGGACCCCCTCCTTTCCTCTTTCAGAAATTTCCAATAATTTATTGGAAATTTTTTTTAATCAGATTGGTTGGGGTGACATTGGTCAACATGAACATATAGGTTTCAGGTGTGGGTTTCTATGCTACAAGATGTTTATATTGCACCATGTGCCCACCTCCCAAAGTCAAATCTTCTCCTTCACCATGTATTAGGACCCCTTTCTCCCCTCATCCCCTTCCCTCTGGCAACCACCAATTTCATTGTAAATTTAACAAAATTTTGAACAAATATTTATGCATACATCCCAATTTTTGCTAAGTATTTTTATAAACTCATAAGGATGTCTGATTCAATGGTAATGACTAATTTCGAGTATTAATAAGTATTACTTTGATTATGGATATGAAGCATCAATAACACTGGACATCTTTATAAATTTTTAAAAATGCAGCATCATCACGTTTCTTCCGGGGGTGTCAACATCAGCCAACAACCTCTGCCGAGCAGAGCATGGAGGACCCGGCTCTGCGGAAGGAGGGGTGGGCGAGAACCGGCGTCGCTCCTGGGCGCCTTGGGTGGGAGGGATGGCGAGCGGAGGAGAGGGCAGTGTGCGAGGAACAGGCAATGTCACCACGTGAGTGGAAAGTGCTGCCCTTAGAGAGCTGAGCCGACCAGGGCCCTCCACGCCCTGGGTGAGTGGGACTGGGAGCCTGGACGCCAGGCTGGGAGCAGAAGGGAGGACAGTCTGGTGTTTTTCATAGATGTATTCCTCGTGCATATCTTGCTGCATTTTTCCTGTAAGCCCAGGCCATCCCTTATTCTCTCTCTACTTGGTTCTGCGCAGAAGTAATTCGATACCTGAGTGTGTACACTCCTTTGTAAACATTCCAAACCGGAGGTGTTTGTTAGTTTACAGTTTGTTACAAGCTTCTCAATGAGCCAGGGGTTACATGCCTTAGAGACACGGGGTGAGGAGGGAGACTGGTTCCACCAGTCACCCAGGGAGGGCCCTCTCGTACCTGCCAACATGGCTAACAGCCGTGCGCACGTGGACTCATGCTGCAATAGGGAGACGGACAGTCCGAGGTTTCCAGCATCCCTGGATTTTGGCAAGGAGGCCAGTGGGACTTGAATTATTCAACTGCATAGGTCTGGCTGCAGATCGAAAATAATTAGAGGCTTGCTTCAAATAAGAAGAGATTCCCAGCCCAGCCAGTGTGGCTCAATGGTTGAGTACCCACCTATGGACCAGGAGGTCACGGTTCAATTCCCGGTTGGGGCACATGCCTGGGTTGTAGGGGGCATGTAGGAGCCAGCTGATCAATGATTCTCTCTCATCATTGATGTTTCTAGCTCTCTCTCCCTCTCCCTTCCTCTCTGAAATCAATAAAAATATTTTTTTAAAGAAATTTATTAAGAAAGGGAGAGCCCCAAACCCGCAACCCTTAAGGACCTGGGAGCTGAAGAGACAGCTAGTGTTTAATGACCAGGTGACTTGTAGAAAGCTCATAGGATCATTTTAGTTCCACTTTCTAATATCAGACCCACCTAATGACGGCTGGTTCTCCCCTGCCCAGCTCACCTGGGCAACCCGATGATTTCAGCTCCCTGCCAGCTTCCTGTTCTGTTCCCCACAAGGACTCTCAGTCCAGCTGCCTCCCAATTCCCTCCTGCTCAGAGAAGATCGGGGCTCTCAGATGTAAACTTCTTTTGCCCTCCACTGCTCTCGGCCCACAATTTCAAACTCAGTCTCATTTCCTGGCTTCCAGCCTCTAAGCGAGGGATCCCCTCGCCTGTGAGGGCCCCGCCAAACCCTCCTCATGGACCCTGGGGTTACCCTCTAGCTAAACTCGCTTCCCCTCCACTTCCTTCCAACCTTGCCTCCTCCACCTGCTGCTTGGAGTGATATTTACAAAATGCAATTTTTTTTCAGTCTGTGCTTCACATAGCGTGTTGCTTCTCCTTTTCAGTGGCTCAATCTACTACCCATAGCTTACTTAGGTGCTCTAGTTGCAACCCCACCCCACCCCTCACTGCCTCCAGCCATCACACATCCCCTTGCACTCTCTGCCTCAGGGGTGCAAAGCTACATGCAGGCCTCAGGGCCTTTGCGCGCGCGCACACACACATACACACACACACACACACACACACACGCACACACACACACATACCAACCTCCCCCTTCCTAGGTGGCACTTCACTCCTCCTCTTTAATACTTGGTATCCAGGGCAGATTCATCATCATACCTGTGGTACTCTTTGCTCTCCTGTTCCAGGGATTTTGCATAATAGGTGACAATAAATGCCACTGGCCTATGAACCAGATTGAGATCCTAATCTCTGATCTGCCAAACTAAACAGCTTTCTTAGCAAACTTCCCCTGAGCCTGGTTCTAAGGCTTCTACTCTCTCTACTCAGCCCCGTGGCAGGAAGGGGCTCAGGAGGAACCAGTGAGGACCCCCCTGCTGCAGTGGCAGAGCCAGAATCAACACTCGTTTACCCACCAGACTGGCCCATCAGCAGACCCTGTCTAGGTCAGAAGGCCTTGCTCATTCAGGTCTAGCCAACCCAATTCAAGGTCAAATCCCCTTCGTCCAGCTACAGAATACACCAGGGAGTCATTATTGTATTACTTAGGCCTTGGAGAATCTTAGGCTAGTGTTTCGCAGCATTTCCTAATGATGGGGCTCACTGCAAGGTGAGAGGCGCACACGCTTCTTAACAAACAACACATCCACTTGAGGCCCTCCTGGCTTTGGGGTGCGGAGTCACGGATTTCTAGGGACTTTCCAAGTATGTTAAAACCAGGCACCATCTTGCTGGTGGGCAGATGGTGACCCTAGAAATCACTTTTCCACACGCGAAGGCGTGCATGGGAGTGCGCGCACACATGCACACGCACACATGCACACGCACGCGCACACGCGCACATGCGCGCGCACAGGGAAGGCCAGACAGCCGGCCCCACCGTCTCCCTGGAATCCCGCTGACTAATTGGAAAGTCCCGCGCCCCGCGCTGTCGCGTCGCCACGCCGGGAGCATGTCAGCGCTGGAGAGAGCCGCGCCAGGCGCGCCCAGCAGGGCCACCGCGCTGCCGCGGCCGGGGGTCCGCAGGAAGTCGCGGGAAGGGGCTGGTGTTGCACGCACGTGGCGGGGCGGGAGTCCCGGATCGCGGCAGGAGCGGTGTCCACCGGGGCCGGAGGCGCGGGGCCTTTAAGGGGGCGAAGACCGACCGAGCGCCGGCGACCCTGGCCCCGCCCCCGAGGCCCGGCCCCGCCCCCTTCCCCGCCCCCGGCCGCAGCCTCTCCGGCCACTGCTGGGCAGCGGGCGGGACGCCGGGGGCGGCGCGCGCAGGAGGAAGCGCGCTGGGCCGCGGCCCGGGATCTGCCCAGACGCCGAGTCGGGAACGCCGGCCGCCGCGTCCCCAGTGCCAGGTGCGCGGGGTTGGGGGCGCAGTCCCGGGCGGTGGCTGCTGCGCGCGGGCCGGCTTTTCCTTCCGCTCGCCCCGCCCGGCCTCCAGGCTCCCTGCTCCCGGCCCCGCGTCCCGGGCCCCGGGCCCGCTTCGCCCGCCGCCCAGACCAGCCCGCTACGCCCCTCCACGCCCCCCGGCCGGCCGCGCGCGGGCTGATGTCCTGAGCTCGCCGCCGCGGGCTCCGCGTCCCGCCCGGGCTGCCCTGGGAAGTTGGGCGAGGCGCGCCGGGTATGCGCCATCACCATGTCCCGCCTGGACGCGTGGCTCGGTGAAGTCCAGTGGCTGGTCTTGGTGTCGCTCTTCGTCGTGGCCTTGGGCACCGTGGGCCTGTACCTGGCGCAGTGGGCGCTGGCCAGGGCGCGAGCTCGGCCCCCGCGGCGGGCGGCGCAGCCGGCCGAGGACCTGCGCCCGGAGTCGGACGTGCTGCTCTCCTGGATTCTGAGGCTGAACAGCTGGAGGAGCCAGTGGCAGGCCGCCTGGGTGGCCGCCCTGAACCAGGAGGCCAGGCGGAAAGGGGTGAGTTTCTGGGAGGGCGTGGTGGTGCCGCGGGGCCGGGTGCGGCTGCCGGCGGGGTGCGGGCTGGCGCGCGGAGCTCTCCTCTGGAGCCTCCCACAGCCCTTGGCTGATCCGAGGGCGCCTTCCCTGTGGGGGGGACCTTGAGAGTTTGGAGAAAGACCCTGGAGTGCGGACCGTCCCGGATGGGGGGGTCAAGACTAAGTGACGGAACCTTATTCGCCCCAGAGGAGGCGTGTCTGGCTGGTGGAGAGACTTGTCAGAGGGCCCGTTCCCCTTCTAGCTTATGGCAGCCCTTCCCGGAGTCCCAGGTGGATTCTGGTTCCCAGCTGGACACTTTCGGCCTTTGTACCTGATGTATGAATACCTGTGACCCAAGCATGCTTCCATCTAGAGAGCTGGATTTCACCAACGATGTACGTCTAAGAGGTTTGCTCGCGTTCCCTGGCATATAAAATTCGTGACCATTGAGAGCCAGCCGCTTCCAGACATTGTACTGGGGGCTTTGGGTGCACATGTCATGTGAATGCTCACAACTCCTGGGTCTGTCATCACTTTATAGGTAGGAGCTGAGGCCAGAGAGGTTAAGGAACCCACCCAAGGTCACACAGCCTGTGCTGGGCCGAGCTGGAATTGGACTCCAGCCACCTCCTGCCCCAAACAAAACGTAGGGACTTGTGACCCAACTGCTGCCGCACGCTCCCGTGGTTTTGTTTCTTCCATGGTTAAGGACGTGGGGGCTTATTTTTACTTTTAAGGCATCGTAGTTTAATGACAGATTCCTGGCGTCTCCTATTTCTGGTCATCCCCGTAGGAACTGGGGCCTGGTGGGATCGGGAGGTGCCTCCCAGCCTTGGCCCGTCCTCCTTGCTTTCATGGTCCTGCACCTGCTTGTGCAGTTCAGTGGAGAAGCCTGGGGCCTTGCTTTGGACATAGGGAAGGCAGTGGGCCTGTTCCAGAGACTCCCGGGCCTGGTCTTTGCACCAGGGTTTAAAAAACAAGAAAACTTTGCATATAAATGGCCATCCATCCAACAACTTGAAAGACTGACCCTGTTCTGAACTATTGAAAACGAATTGTACCTTTTGGATGAAAAAAAAGGCTTCAAGGTCAGTTGACTGCCAGCTGTCATGGTGCCTAGAAAATGTGCCCCTGCCGTTCAGAGCTGGATGTCTCCTGGCCAGGGACACCACCCCAGTTCTTGTGGGAGCCCTAACGCCATGTGGCCTCCCACTTGGGAGCACACCAGGTGCTGTCATTGACCCCTGATTGAGCTGGTGTCACAGGCCAGGTTCGGGGGCTGAGTGAGTCCACCTTGGTTGGTGGTGTGAGCAGGTGTGAGTCTTGTCCCTGCTCCCTTTAACATTCAGGGGAGCGTTGGGTGCGTGATTTGGCAGATCTGGAGGAGTTTCAGGCATGGAGGCGGGACCCTACCTCAGATGTGTGCGTTGGGGTAGCCCTGCTTAACCCGTTCTGCCTCGTTTCCTGGCATTTCTCGATTGGCTTCAGAAAATAGGATTGCCTTAGACACTGTTTCCAGATTGCTCCTGCGCCCGTGGTGTTGCAAGTTCCTCCTGGAATGCCTGGTTGGTCAGGTAAGGCTGAGAACCTTGAAGGAACTGGAGGTTTTGAAAGAAAACCTTTCACCCAGTCCCCTGACTCTGTGGGAGCAGGGGCAGCTCTGTTCAGGGAGTGGAGACAGGCATCTGGCTGGTTTGCCTTCTCTCTGTTCTATCTGCTTGTTGACCATGCACTGCAGCGTCAGGACCTCCGTGTTTCCACACTCCTGCCAGGAAGGCGCCCTGATGTACGGGGTTCGAGCTCAGAGCGTGGCAGAGACCTCCCAGACAGTTTGGGTGGCTGTGGATTGCATCTGCTTGTGCTCCCTGTGCCTGCGAGTGTTGCTTGATTTGAATTCAATTGGAAGGTGTTGCAGGAAGATAGGATCTGGGGAACTCCCGGCTACAGACTTGTCACACACCCTCCCTGTCCTCCCCCACCACTGTTGCAGCACTGATGACAATAAGGGTGAGCAGGCTGGTGTCTCTGGTGGCTGTCCTGACCCGGCAGCCCGCCCTGCAGTTCATCATTGCCCATTGCCCATTGCCCTCCCTCCAACTCGATTCCCACTAATCCCAGATTAGGGCTGATACTTCATGGCAGAGATGCCCTGCCCTGGCTGGGGAGGAAACCACTTCTTAGCCAGTCCCTGGGGGTTGGGGGCACCCTGGAAGTCACAATCATATCCAGCGTCTTCGTGAAAGGTGGAATTCTCTATCGAATGGAGACGGTAACTCTTGAATTCTGTCTTACCCCAACTTTGCATTTTAAGACCAGAAGGAATCCTACACTCTTCTAGCAAAGCCCCTTTCTGCTGCAGAGGGGAGACTGAGTTCCATGAGGTGGAGAGACATGCCAGGGTTGACCCAGATCCTGGTCCAGGTCCCCTGCGGGCAGGAAATTCGAAGTTGAGACCTACATGATCCTTTTCATGGAGGCCCAGCAAGAAGGATAAAGGGTTTGATTGCTTAGTGAACCATCCCTAGCTGTGGGGCTCCTTTCTCCCAGGACCTGAGGCTTGAGCACCAACCCGTGGAGCCTCCTTTGACTCTGAGTGACCCATGGCCATGGCAGTGCAGGTCCCTCCTGTTGGGCGGCCCTGTGGTTCTGACCCTTACTCCGAAACTATTTTTAAATTAGACAGGATGGTGAGTTGGAGAGACAGAGAGGAAACCATGGCTGCTCTGCCAGCTGGCCGGCCAGATGCCAGGTGTGTGGGGAGCACAGGTGACTTGCCTAGAGAGCTTTGAAAAAATGCACATGCCTTCCCCCTGCAGTTCGGACTTAGCAGGTTGGCAGGGGTGAGGGCGCACACTGTAGGTTTCACAATTTCCCCAAGCTGGCTTCTTCTCACACTGAGAGGCTGCCAGCTACACGCCAGTCCCTAGGCCAGCGGTTCTCAACCTGTGGGTCGTGACCCTTTTGGCGGTCGAACGATCCTTTCACAGGGGTCGCTTAAGACCATCCTGCATATCAGATATTTACATGACGATTCATAACAGCAGCAACGTGACAGTTATGAAGTAGCAACGAAAATAATTTTATGGTTGGGTCACACCATGAGGAACTGTATTGAAAGGGCCAGAAGGTTGAGAACCAGTGCCCTAGGCCAACTATCTGTCATTCACCCCACAGCACCTCTCCACTCTGGCGTCCCAAACACCAGTTCCAATTGATCTGATCACAGTTCAGTCATGAGAACAGACAGCCTAGAACTGCCTCAGTCACTCACTTGGGACGAACACATCTTGTCCAAAAGCAGCAGCTGAGGCTTTCCCTTTAGTTCCCCTGCGTAACTGTGACATTTACAAAATGGTTTGCCATGGCAGTTACCCCAGCGATGGTCCACACCCCGGACACCCACCTGGGAAGCTCTGGGTTGCGAGCTCTGCTGGTGAGCTGGACGGCGCTTCCCTGCCCAGGTGGGTGCCCACACGTTGTGAGTATTGACCTTAGAGTGGGGGCCGCCTTTCGGACTTGTCCAGCCGTGGGCCACCCTGAAGCTGTTGGGTTCTTTGGTCCTTTGCCCCAGGGTTTCTTTTCAGAGGGATGTTCTAGGTGCAGGTGACCAAGGTTGTGGGACAATCTGTGGTTTTCCGAAGAAAACAGGAAAGATGCTGTGTGAACCTAACTTGTAGATGCGCTTCAGCAATTTAAAAAGGAAACACAGTGATAAGACTTCAGAGTTTTCCTATTACATAATGAGCTCCGAGTGGTGATCACAAAAATCCAAACTCCTGGCCAGTGACAGAGGCCACGCTGTAAGAGGTCAGTTGGCAAGGATGTGAAGGCAGCCCTGGATAAGGGACCTGACCGGGCCCCTGCCTGCACCCTCCACCCCAAACCGGTCTCCTTTCTGTTCCGTGAACATGTTCCCTTTGTCTCAAATACTTACTTAACCTTTTTCTTCTTTAACTTCTATAAAGCTTTCAGAAGATCCCTATCCTCCCATTTGCCAGGTTGCTGCCCCACCCCCACCCCAGCAGCCTGTGCTTGTCCCAAATAGCATTGGCACCTGGTGCTCACTGGTGTCTCATGGAATTGTAAGCTAGTCTAGAGCCCTGTCTGCCCAGGCACAGCCCACCCAGCGCCCAGCACAAGGCTGGCTCACAGCAGTGGGTGTGGGGGGTGGGATGAATGGCAGGGCCTGTTAGAAACTTGTCGCCGGTGGGGAGAAACAGTGGCCATGAGCATCACCCCATCTGGACACAGGCCTTCCCTGCTTGGGAGCCAGCCAAGCCTGGGCAACTCAAGCTGTTTAATGTGCTTTGTTTTTCACTTCTAAAGAATCAACATTAAAGGAGGCTCACTGATGACTTTGCAAATTGTCCGCATGAAACCCAGGAGTAGGCGCCAGTTCAGGTTGTTCCCTGCGCTCACCCATTCTCCCAGCCTGACCAGGGCTCAGAGGAAGGAAAAGTGGGTGTAGTGTTCACTAAAATGCAGCCAAAGCTAACTTGACTCCCATCGTGGGCTGCTGAGTTGGGAGGGGACTTCTTGAGCCGCTTGGAAGAACTGTGCTCCCTGCTCAGGCTGAAAGCTCTGGGGCTGTGTGACCTGGGGCAAGTCCTGGCCTCTCTGTGCTTCATTTGGAGAAGAGGGAAGGTTTGGGTTCAATCTGAAGAAGAGAATCCACTCTGGATGAGATGAGATCGTCATGAGGCATTTAGTAAATTGCGTCAATAAAGGTGGGCTGCTTTCTTGTAAAGTCTCTTTTAAAAAAACATGATTTTTAAATTGCTCTTAGATTTACAGAAAAGCAGCAAAAATAATTCAGCCGAGTCGGCATGGCGTCGACCTATGAACCAGGAGGTCACGGTTCGATTCCTGGTCAGGGCAGATGCCCGGGCTGCAGGCTTGACCCTCAGTGTGGGGCGTGCAGGAGGCAGCCAGTCGATGATTCTCTCTCATTATTGATGCTTCTCTCTCTCTCTCTCTCTCTCTCCCTTCCTCTCTGAAATTTATAAAAATATTTTTAAAAATAATTCAGAGTTTCCATGTATTCCTCACTCAGCCTCACATAACCATAGCATAGTGATCAGAACCAAGAAATTAACATTGGTACAATGTTACTGTAATTTATAGTAAAATGATATTAACATTGTAACAGGACAGAAAATTAACATTGGCACCATGTTACTATAATTCACGGTACAATGATATTAACGTAAACAGTATAAAGACATCAATAGTGGCACAATGTTACTATAACTCATGATACAATGATGTTAACATTGTAACAGGACAAGAAATTAACATTGGCACCATGTTACTATAATTCACGGTACAATGATATTAACGTTGTAAACAGTATAAGACATTAACGTTGGCAATGGTCTGTAACCACTGAAGCCCTTATATGAATTTCACAGCTTTTCCACCAGGATCCTCTCTCGTTCCAGGGTCCCATCCAGGCCCACATGGCATTAAGTTGTTGCTTCTCCTTGGTCTCCTGCAGTCTTGAACAGTTTCGTATTCTTTCTTTGTTTTTCACAACCTTGCTAAGTCTGAAGGACATTGATTATTCTTTTGCCAAAGGTCCCTCAAATTTGGTGTTTTTAGATGATTGGACTGAGGTTATACAAACTGCAGAAGTGATGCTCCCCTTTCCATATACTAAAGCACAGGGTTCGTGATGTCATTGTAACTTACTGCTGGGGACTTGGGCCTTGATCCCTTGGTAAAGGTGGTTTGTCTTCTATCTTATGGCCCCTCTTATATCATTCCCTCTGAGGTTAAACATCTCGTGGAGATACTCTGAGACTGTACACATCCTGTTACCCCTCACACTTTGCTCGCGGACTCGGGCATCCCTCTGTGTGACGGGTCTGCAACAGTTACTTCTGGGGAGTTTGCTTAATGATGGTTTTTTTGTTTTCATCTCCCCTACATTTATTCTTTGAATTCCACTGCAAGAAAGGGCTGCCACCTCTCCTCCATCCATATATTTCGTTGGTTATTTCCATCAGGGTGGACTCACGGTGATTTCTGTGCATATAACCAACACTGTCGCTGTTGGCTGTGTTTTTTCACTGACTGTTGTTTGGCCACGGGCAGCCCTGTTAGCAGTAGCCTTTGTGTTCTGCCATCAAGACAGAAAGATGTGTGTGTGTGTATATTTAGCACTTCCTTCCTTCATGGCTCCACAGATGTTTTTTTCCTAGACTCATCTTGTGTTTTCCCTCTTCCGGCCCTGGATTCAGCCCCTTCTCCAGGCAGCCCCGATTCCTGCTTTTGGAGAAGTGTTTAGGAACCGAGATCCGGGGTCATTACTGCTGGGGTTTCATTGCTTCTAGACTTTTTTAGTGGACAGAGCTAGGAAGTGTATGTGTGTACACCAACACACTCACGCACATGTCTGCATTTCTCTTTCTGTCTGTATCTTCAAAACCATGACTTTATACCGATCCCCTGGCCTCCAGGTCAACAGCACAGAGTTCGTTTTATCTTCCCCTTTCCGTGTTTTTAACTTCCTTCTCCAGGAGGGAGGCATTGGGTACTCGCTGTCTGGAACGTATTTATTTACCTGGTCAGTTCTGGCCTCCGCCTAGAGTAGTTTCTGAATTGGCAGCCTGTACCCCTGCGAGACACACATTTACTGCCGAGGTTATGGCATTTATCTGCGGTCAGGGCACTGTTTCCCAAAGTGTCTTAGGTTAGAGCTGTGTTTCCCGCCCCTTCGGGGGTTATGATATTCATTGGTAATGAATGCAGTCAGGTCCATGTGCTAGTGTTGGGGTTCCATCGGGGGCTCCTCCCACATCCTGATTATTAAAGAGAGAATCCGTCTTTACCCAGTGATCTGGGATGCCACCCTTGTCCCCTGCTAAGTTTGCTCCTGTGTCTGGGGCTGTTTGGGACGTCCTGTTCCCGTCCACTGGTGTTTGTGCAGCGGTCCACACAGCTTGAAATGCGCAGGGTCTGCAGTGGGTGCTGATGTTGGCAGGGCTCGGCCCCTCGTGGCTTTCCTTGTTCAGTGTTTCCCTGGCGATTCCCAGGTGGACGTAAAGTCTGGCGCTGGCCTAAGCGGGGTAGCACCTGCACTGGGGCTGTCTGCTCACCGACAGTACGGACGTGTGGCAGTTCGCCGTTGGGTGTCGTACACACGCTTGCCTTCCTGAAGCTCAAGGAGTAGGCAGTCGGAAAGGGAAAGGGAACCTGTGTCCTTGTTTTAACTTAATTCCTGTCCTTTGTGAGACCACCTTTGACGTGAACTTTCCTGGTAGAATCTTTCCAGGGTTTTAATCCATGAGGGGCCTGCCATAGGTAAGAGGCTATGGACAGCGCCCCCTGATGCCCAGGGCAGGAGCCTGCGTCCAGGCTGCTCACAGCCGGCCGGCAGCCGTGCTCTGCAGCCTGGGACAGAAGGTGCATTGTTTCCCTCGCGCTGTCCGGCAGCTGTCACCACTCCTGCTGACGGGTGGCTTCCCTGCCTGGCACTGCGCTCCGTGCTGGAGGCTGTTCTCGCAGCCGGACGACCCCGTACTCGGACCCATGTCATCCCCGGGCTCATGGCTTCCCCCTGGCCAGCAGGCCACACCAAAACAAGCACAGCCTGGAGGGCGTCCGCCGAGCAGCCCGAGACTGTGACTTCATCGCTCTTGGGGAGTAGGTTTCATTCTCCTCCCATGATTTTTGGGGGGTGAGATCGGTGTTGCTGAAACAGGGCGAGGTTGGAAGCATGGAATTGGGAGTGTTCTGTGCCTGTTAGCTTTCCTTTGCGCCCTGGGGGATTCTTAAGAAGTAGCCCCCGATGAGGACATGGCCTGCTCGTGTGGGCTGTGCCTGCCAGCAGAGCTTGAGCGTCTTTTGCAGAATTTTGTTTCCCCACCCCGATCGCGTCTTGTAGCTGGAACCAGCTCACCACGCAGAGCGTCTCTGAGGTAGATAGAAAGTGGAGGGAGCTGTGGGGTGGAAGTTTCTCTTGCAGCCAGTCAGAACTTCCTTGGCCACGATACACGTCAGCCAGGAAGCAGCTTAAGAAGAGTTTCATGCCAGATTGTGTTGTTGGCATAAGTGTTTGGCCTCTCGAGATAATTTATTTTATTTATTATTATTTTAAAATATTTCTTATTGACTTTTTTTTTTTTTTTTTTTTTTTTTTTTTTTTTTTTTTAAAAGAGGGAGGAAGGAAGGGGAATAGAGAGAAACATCGATGATGAGAGAGTATCATTGATTGGTTGCCTCCTGCACACCCCACACTGGGAAGTGAGTCCACAACCTGGGCATGTACCCTGACCGGGAATCAAACCTGCGACCTCTTGGTTCATGGGTTGACACTCAGCCACTGAACCACACTGACTGGGCTCGAGAGAATTTATTTTTAAACGGACAAGCCCTGGTTTGTTCTTTCATAAAACATCAGTCTTGTTGCCTTGGGGGTCATATTAATTGAATTGCACATCTCACACGGTCAGAGTTTTAATTGCAAGAACCTAAATGGACATAGGCTGACAAGCCCCGGGGAGTTTACTGGAAGGGTGCAGAGGGTGCACAGAGCTGAAGGCTGGGTTCAACCGGGAACTCTGGGGGCAGGAGCTGGCAGCTCTGAGGTCTGCAAGGCACAGCCACCAGCCTGGCTCATTGCCAGCCAAGGAGTCCCAAATTCCAGGGAGAGGTGGCCGCCCCAAGAGTTCCTGCCCACCCACCCTTGGGCGGTGGGAAAAGAGAAGGGGGCACCTTAGGTGCAATGCCAGGGACCAGGAAGAAGGAGCTCTCTACAAACAGGGCTCTCACCAGAGGAAGGGAGGACACAGCCCTGGCACCCACTGTGTGTGGCCAGACGCTGTGCTAGAGCCGCAGACCCACAGGCCAGCATGGGCACCCCACCCCCTGCAGAGCCTGCGTTTCCTTACACTGTGAGCCTGAGCATTCAGAACGCCCTTCACTGTCTTCATCGTTAGATTTGCCCTTGTTCCTGGGAGTCTCTGCTTCCCATCCTTGTCCCATAACTGAACCTGCCCCTGAGCGGGAGCCAGCCTGAGCTGGCGCACAGGTGCATGCACAGGTGTGTGCACTGGCTGATAATTGACCTTTGCTACTGCTTAGAAGCCCAGGTTAACTAAAAGGAGCCCTGTTACGTTTTCTTGGATGTGCAGAGCTTTTCTAGCAGAAGCCTGACTTCCTCTAAAAAGCAGGCATCGCCGCTCTGCACACGTCTCCTCACTGCGCTTCTCTCTTCCAGGGCCCGCTGTCCCTGTCCTTCGAGGAGGACCCGCAGCAGCCGCCCCTGGAGCTGGCGGTGCAGCAAGTCTCCAGTGGGGCCCGGTCGGCTCAGGAGAAGGTGAGCTGGGTGCGGTCCCCTGTGAAGGGCCTCTCATCTAAAGCTGATGGGGGTAGTTTATTCTGTCTGAGAATTATTTGAAAACGTAGATGCCTTACATGAAGAACATCTGCTCATCAGCTGGTGGATGGAGACATAAAACGTGGTATAGCCGTACAATAGGATATTGTGCAGCCTGTAAAGGAATGAATCTCTGACATGCAGCAACGCATAAGCCTTGAAGACGTTATGCTCAGGGAAAGAAGCCAGACACAAAAGATGACTTATTGCAGGATTCCTTCTGTATGAAGCATCCAGGATAGAACAATCAGTAGAGACAGAAAGTAGACCCGTGGTCGCCAGGGCTGGGTGGGGAAATGGTGGTGACCGCTGTGGGTACGGGGTTTCCTTTGGGGGTGATGAAAATGTTCCAGTGGTGATGCTAGGCATACAACTCTGGGAAGCGTATTTTAAAAACATTTAATTCTACAGTTTAAGTGGGTGAATTATATGGTATGTGAACTTATATGTGTATGTGTACAATACATATGTATATATTCTGCAATATGACATATAGATTTGAACCATTTAGATAGTGTGGAGAGTTCATTTTACAGTTGCTAACCACTCACAAGCTGAAATGACTTACTAGACTCATCAAATACCATAAATAATTTTATTGATTTTTTAAAAACGCAAAGTGTCTGTAAAACATCCCAAAGAACCACATCCACTTAAAAGCGTGCCACGCAGCAGCCGGGGGAAGGGACACCTTTTGTGACCCCAGGTCAATAGGCAGAGCGCTGCTGGCCCCGGACGCCCGCCCACATGTACCTCCCCCCGTCTCAGCGGGAGTGTTGTTCGTGCATTTGTGAAGAACATTCACCGCTGTGTGTGAGGCTTTACAGCCAGCTTTCTCTGTAGAGGGCGTGGCAGTTCTGAGAGGCATCCGGGTGGACTTAGGTAGCTCTGTTCACGGGCTTCAATACGGTCAGGGCTCTGGACGGCCCGCAGCTTCCTCCTCCGTCCACTGCCGACGGGGCCTTAGGCGGTTCTCTCTTTGTCAAGTGCAGCAGCTGCATGAGCCTGACTGTGCGCAGGGTCCTAACCCTCAGCCAGGCGTGGGACTGAGGGTGGGGGTGGGGGGTGCGGCCAAGCTGTGGGTACGCGGAGTTTTCCAGAACTGGTCCCCAAAGTGCTGTTCCAGCCGACTCTGCCCGCAGCACAGGAGAGCGCCTTCCCCTCCCCTGGCCAAGGCACTCACACGGTGGTACAATCCTGGAGCCAGTGTGGGGAGCCTCTGGAAGGTTTTGGGGTGACAGGAGGAAACCGGCGGCAACAACGCAGGATGCTGAGTCCGGCATGGCCCACAGCGCTGGGAGGGGCCGGGTGAGCAGGGGGCACAGGTGGGCACTGAGGCGCAGACCCCCGCAGGCCTGGCCTCCTGGATGCCCCGGCGTGGGCATGTCGGGGCCGGTCCCTTTGTGGTGGGCAGTTCTGTTTGCTGTTCTCTGCCACTGGCCCAGCTAAGAGAGCAGAGCGTCCGGGCTGGCCCGCAGGTGCAGGGAGGAGCAGAGCGGGAGCAGCCGTCGGGCATTGTCGAAGGTCTGGCTCCGGTGCCAGGGGAAGTGGATGGTGAAAGTTCGTTTGCTTTAATACAGTTGCAGCACGATGCGCGCCCGTGAGGAAGTGCACAGCCGCTCAGCGGTGCAGAAACTCCTTCTTTAAAGTCTGTGCCGAGCCCTCCTCCCTCGGCTCCCTGGGCTGGGACCGCTGACCGCTGTCCACAGGGGCCCTGGAGGCTCCCTGCCGACCGCAGGCAGACGGAAGAGTGCGCGCACGGTCCTGTTTTGTTTCACAATTATCTTCATGTTCTTGACGATTATGTTCGTGGCCAGGCAGGGAAATGAGCCTTGTCATTGCCTCGTGCTGCGGCTAGTGCTGTCCCCCTCGGACAAGCTGGCCAGCGGTTGGGTGACAGGCGCCCGGGGCCCTGCACAGTGTGGGAAAGTGGGTCCGGTGGTGTCGTGTGTCGCAGTAACGCTTGGCAGCCCGGGTCGTGTGCACGCCCACGTGTGGGGACGCCCTGCGGGATCGGCCTGGCTCCTGGGAAGCTGGGCTGGACTCGCCGGGCGCGTGGCTCCTGCGCACGGCCTTTGCCGCTCTTGGACGAGCAGCGTGGCTGAGCTGGGCGCATGTCAGGGCGTCCTTTTGCAAAGGGATCCAGCCAGACTAATCGGAGTTTCTCCTGTAATGCGTCTCCGGTGGGAGGTTCCTTAATCTGTGCATTAAATGGAGGGGAGCACACAGGAGCTGGTGTTCCCCAGCAGCCTGTGGGGCTGGACGCCAGTGGGCTGTCCTCCTCCTTTTAGGATCTGACCTACGCACATGACCCTCCCCCCACTTAGATGGAACCCTGTGTCTGCATCGTCATGTTCTCTCTGCTCAGCATCGTTCTTGAGAAGGAAAAAGACCAACAGACCCCGAAGCCCACAAACACATGTTACGAAAGAAATACAGGTGTGATTTCAAGGACACGGCCCGCCCCTCCTAGGATCCCCCCACAGTGCCAGGCTGTATCTTTCTCGTCTCTCCGGCTCGGCCCCGACGTGGACCTGTGGATGGCATTGGAGCTAGTGACAGAGACCAGCCTGCCTGGGCCTGGGGTCTGGTGTGCAGTCGCATCTCTGGTCACTTAGCCGAGAGCGGGGGGCTCTGGTCAGCCTTCGGAGCATCTTCCTGACTGTGTTTGGTCTTGAGTCTCCCTGCGGGCCCCTCAGGAACAGAATCTGGCCCGCCCTGCTCTCTGGGTGCCCTGTGCGTGGACTTTCTCCTGTGGCCCCCTAAAGACCCTCACGGCCTTTGCAAATATCTTGCTCATCAGCAAACCCACCTCAGCGCCCTGCACAGAGACGGGGTCTCACTGAGAGCGGTTGGGGTCCCCTTGCAGGACCTGTGAGAGGTGGGGAGCCCACACTCGCAGCCTTGGCCGGGCCGGGCCTGCCTGAGCTGTGTACCCTTCAGTGTGGGGTTTTCCTTCTACCCAGCGACCACCTCTCCAACGTCCTGGACGCCAGCTGGGTGCGCAACAGTTCGGTTCCATTTCAGCACTGACTAGTGCCTCACAAGTCTGTGTTCACGTCAGACGCCAGTCCCAAATCAGGGGCCCCTATACTCTGACCGATTGGCTGTAAAGTCAGGGGATCCCACTTCTCCTCAGGTCCGGTTATTTGCTGGAACAGCTCACAGAACTCAGTTTGTAACACAGGACGCGGCTCGGGAAGCGCCGAGGGCAGAGATGCGCGGGGCCAGGTGTGGGGAGGGGCGCAGGCTTCCATCTCTCTCTGCGTGCACCGCCCTCCCCGCACCCCGACCCACAGCTCCCTGCGCCCCTTGTGGAGGGGCACTGATGGAGGTTCCATGGTGTGGGCAGGGCTGATGACATCACTGGCCGTTGGTGATTGAATCCAACCTCCAGCCCCTCTCCCCTCTGGGAGGTTGGGAGGAGGCTGGCGGTATCAGCCCGGTCGGCCTGGTCCCGTCTTGCTGGTTACCAGCCCTCTCCTGACGCTGTGTAGGGGCCCCAGCCACCAGCACCAAAACACACCTTGTCACTTGGGAGATTCCGGGGGTTTTAGGATCAGGGTCCCAGGACCTGGGGTCCAAGGGCAGCTGTTTGTTTACCACAGGCCGCGGCCCTGCAGAGCTTGTGGCCTTTCCCTAGGGAAGTCTCCCTGCGGGGTCTCAGCTTGCCTGGCCAGTGGGGCATCTTCTCACGCAGGCACACACTCCGCCCAGGCCTCCCAGGCCCGTGGAGAGGGGCCCCTCCCTGTGGGGCGCTGCTGGGAGCCGTCACCTGCACACGCCCCCCAGGACCCCCTCTGCCTCCTGCCCGGGCTGACAAGCACCAGGGACTCTTCTCTTCTCCCCGATTGTGGTCACGCTCTTACCCAGAGCAGCGCGCTTCCACCTACCTTCTCATTCCTCACGTCCTGGGAGAGGCTCGCTCTAGAATGCGTGACCCAGAAAAAGGCCTCCTCTATTGCGATATTGCCGGTGGCCTAGGGGCCAGCGCGTCCTCCGCACGATGCGGCCACAGCCCTTCCCGGCGCGTCCCTGGGCTCCCAGGTCCCACGCGGCTCCGTGCGGGCGTGAGGCCCACGAGCCCACGGGGAGATGCCTGTGCGGGGATCGGCGGCCGGGGGTTTGCGCTGTGGCAGGCGCTTCGCTGAGCCAGCCGTGCACTTATGTCTCTTGTGCCGGGGGCAGGCTACGTGTCTCTGAACGCAGCCGGTGTTAGGAAAGCTGGCCAGTGAGCATGCGGGGAGCAACCTTTCGAGACCGGCAGGGTTGTTGGCTTGCTTGGTGTGAGGCCAGGCGCCCTGTGAAAAGCATTACGTAGCTTTGATTTCCAGGCCGTTTGTAAACAAATAGAGGCTTCTAATTAATGAGCAGCTGTGGGTTAGAGTGTTGGATCCTGTCATCACCCACCCAGCATGGGGCGTGGCTGTGAGGCCGGGAGACACTGGTTGGACGGGGCTTGTTTTGGGTGCCTCCTTCTCTCCTCAGCCGCAGGTGCTGCCTGTACGTAGGAACCCCTCCCTGCAGGAAGGTGAGGGCGCCGGCCTGTGCACCCCCGGCACGACGCCTGCCCTGTCATCACTCGTGATGCTGATGCTATCGGGTGTGACCAGCCCTGGGCGCTGGGCGCGTGCTCATTCATACTGCGCTCAGCACCTCCGCCCCAGCAAGTGTCATGCCCACTGTTCAGAGGAGAAAAGCAAGGCAGAGAGGCTGAGCCACTTGGCCAAGGTCGCCGAGAGCTACTAAGGAGCAGAGGCTGGGTTTGAACCCCCGTCGGCCCCCAGAAATGAGCTCCGACCCCTGCACGTCGCACACAGCACACCGGGACTGTTCTTTTTGCATTTTTTAGTGCTGTTTCCCTGAAGCCCTCACTCCCACTCTCACCAGAAAAGAGACAACGAAGATAAGGAAAGGACTGAAAGGCACTAACCAGCCTT